CCCTTCAGCTAGACCTCATTAACCCAAGCCTCTCAGGATCCTCCCTGGAGGTTATATGGGAAACTTTTTTTAATTGGTGTTTACATCCTACCATAATGAAGGCAGTCAACAGGGAACTTACAATGGGAGGAATATACTTTCTAAACAGCAGCTAATCATGACAGTCTCAAGAAAGCACACCTCTGCCATGTGAGGGTAGTTTGATGGCCGCTCTATTGACTTATATCCTTGTTTGTTTTTAATTAACTTTCATGGGTGTGGTATGATTGTTGATAAATCCTCTATAGCTCGTACTTAGTCATTTGAGTGCAAACATAAACTCGGATATATACACGTGTAATTTGCTTTTGATATATTTTATTTATGTGTATACACATGTTGTGCTGGCTAGTTTTCTGCCAACTTGATGAAGCTAGTCATTTTTCTTTGTTTATTTTATGTGTATAAATGTTTTGTCTAATGTATGTCTGTGTACTACATCTGTGCCTGGTGCCTGCAGAGGTCAAAGAGGAACTCTGGAACTAACTTACAGATGGTTGAAAACTGCCTGGTGGGACTTGAGCCTCGGTCCTCTACAAGAGCAACAAGGGCTCTTAACGGCTGAGCCATCTCTACAGTCCCTACAGTAATTTTGAGAGAGAAATTCAGTTGAGAAAATGTCCCGAACTGATCTGTGGGCAAACATTTTCTTGATTGATGGTTGATGTGGAGGGCTGCTGGTACCCACTGAGCAATCTCTCCAGCCCCTCCAAATAGTTTAGACTTATAGAAAAGTATGCCTGTACCACGCACACACAAAGTGAAAGTGTTTTGTTTTGTTTTGTTTTGTTTCAACCATAGTTCTTGGGAGGAGGAGGCAGGGGGATTGCTGGTTCTGGGCTGGGCTAGAATACATGTGAAACCCTGATTTTAAAAACAGAAAAAAAAAAAAGCCAGAAGGGCTGAGAAGATAGTTCAGCAGTTAAGAGCACTTGTCGCTTTTCCAGAGGACTGGAGTTCAGTGCCCAGAACCTACATACATCAGGAAGCTCACAGCTGCCTGTAACTCCAGCTCCAGAGGATCAAACACACTTTCCTGGCCTCTGCATGCACCTACACCTGTGAACAGACATATGCATGTAAATAATAATAAAAACAAATCTTTTTTTAACAACCAGAAAATTAAAAAGTAAAAGGAAAGAATAGAGGCAGAGGTGAGGGAAAGAGAATTTCTCATAGTCGGAGTTCCTATGTGGCAGTGTCTAGTGAGTTCAGACCTCCTGGACTGGTGCCACACACCCCATGGCCCCTCACCTGCTGAAAAGAAGGTACTCCTTCTTTTTTATGCTCCTTTCATGAGCATAAACCAGGTCACGAAAGGGCTCCTCCCTCCCCGCCTCTTGATCATCCTATTGCCTACCTGAATATTTTAATTCCTTGAGAATTTCATACAAAGCACTTCCTATTCTTCCTAATTCCTTTCACATCCATTTTCATCTCCCTACCCTCAGCTTTGGGTCTTTTTTTTTTTTTCTTTTCCTTTCTTCCCTTTTTTTGTATAACCAGGGAGTCTAACTTGTGCTGTCCAGAACTCTTGAGTGTGGAGCCACACCCTTAAGGAACACTCACTCTCCCTTCCTGCCAGCTATCAGATCCCTACTTAGGGGAGCTAACTACATTTGACTTTTAATTTCTATTAGCTTTTTTTTTTGACAGTTTGGAGACAAATAAATTTTACATACTGTGTCTGTCAGACATATGGCTACATTGTGAAATAACTGTGGAGTGCCTAAACCTTTGACATTGCAACATGATCGTTTATCTACAAGGACTGATTATGCTTGAGTACCATGCAAGTGAGTTATTTTCAAAATCATTTTCTAAAAAAGCTTACCTCACAGTGTTTTAAGCAGCTTTATGGTTCTGTGTTGGGCCGTGTTCACGGGCTAGGTATGCCTGACATGGTCTCATCATCAAGTCAATCACCATCCTCAGGCATCCGTGAATCAGGTTTTTGTGTCAAGAACATTTAAGTTCTGTCCTCTGCTTGGGTTTGAATGAGTCACCCCAGAAACTCTGAAATCTCACTGTCATTACTGGATATTAAAGGGGGCAAAGCAAGCTCTTAAGAGGCAATTAGGGTTTGGCCCTAAGTAATATACATTCATGCAATTAGCTGATTAATAAGTAAGTGGATAATCATGAAGGTGTCTGACATCGGAGCCAGTCTGGCTACATCTCCTGTGGGTTCCCTGTCTCTCATCACAGAAGGCTTTAGTTCTGTCATCACCAGAGGAGACACCCTCAGGCCTACAGCTACAACTGTGGGCCCTAACAGACCTAATTCCATCATTTACCTGACATGTGGTATTGTGGACAGAAACAAAACAGACGGAGACACTCTTCTAGCAATTTTTTTTTTTCTAGACAGTTTCCCAGTGTTAGCCCAAGCTGTCTTGGAACTCTGTAGAACAGGCTGGCCTCAGGCTCACAGAGATCTGCCTGCCTCTGCCTCCTGAGCACTGGGATTCAAGCCACCACCACCTGGCTTATCCTAGCAAGCTTGAAGTACACTGTTCACATATCCTCTCTGAAGCCTTCAGCCCCTCAGTCCTCCACACTGAAGGTGGATTCCTGACAACTGCCATCTGACTCCACCTTTATGAGCTCAGCCTCTTGAAGACTCCTCATGAAGTCTGTCTTTCTGTGCCTAGTTCACTTCTCTTGGTATAATGGGGCCATCCATCTTGATGCAACTGACAATTCCATTCTTGAGCAGGCTGTGTATGCGTACATTTTTCTCTTCTTTTAAAGCCTGTATAAGCGTGCATGTTCACGTGTGTCTGCAGCTTCCACATGGAGGCTGGAAGAGAGCATCAGAGCCCTCTTCCATCACTCTCTGCCTGTTCCTATGAGGCAGGGCCTGAACTGGGCTCAAATCTTGGCTAGGGTGAAAACCAACAAGGCCCGACCCCACCTCCACTCTTCTACTCCTCAAGAGCTGAGGTGACAGGTATTGCAGAGATGACCGCACTCCACATAACTTCAGAGCAAGCACCTAAAGACTGAGCCACGTCCTAGCCCCCGTGAACATTTTCTTTAACTATTGATTGGCTGGTGGATGCTGACTCTTTCCGTGTCTTGGCTTTGAGAATGACGCTGCAATGAGCATGGTGGTGCAGATGTTCTCCTGTACAGACTTCATTTCCTTAAGGTATGTGCCCAGCTGCACTCTCCATATGTGGATCATATACTGACCATAGTTTTAATTTTTTAGGGCACCTCCATTTCATTTCCACAATGATCCTAGTTCACATCCTCACCAACCGCTGTTAGGTTCCTTTTCTTTCCGTCTTCATCCTCACCAACTCACTGTAAGCGTTCTCTTTTCTTTACATCTTCACCAATATGTTACCTTCTGAGTTTTTTCTTTTTTAGATTTTCATACAAGTATATACTGTATGTTGAGTACATTTCTTCCCAGAATCCCCACTATAGCTTTTCTCACCCTTCCCCCCCATCACCCTAGTTTCATTTTTGTTTTCATGTCATATGTGTATGTGTGTGTGTGTCTCTCTGTCTCTGTCTCCCTCTGGTATTGGTGATTTGAGCCTAGGGAGTGAAGCAAGCCTTCCGATTCTGAGCTATCTCCTCACTAATCCCACTTTTTTATTTTTGCCTTTGCCACCTGTGCTTTGTCGTCAAATCCTTCACAAAGCTTTAAAAAAAAATTAAAAAAAAAAAAAAAGATCCTAAAAGTTCATTTAGTACTCCCCCAAATGTACTTGCGGTCACTGGACCCTGTATCTATCTGTTCCTCTGCCCAGTGAAGCTCTATTGGGGAAACCTCCTCCCTCTGCCTTTCAGCATTACTCATGTCTTTAGTTGGTATATGAGGGTGAGTGCCCAAGTCTAACCTGTTGGAACCACCGAACTCATGCTTCCCCCCACCCCAAAAACCCTAGTTATGCAAATGCAAAGTCTTCGCCCTTGGCCCTCTTTTTCAGTGTTAACGTTGTTATATGGTGGTGAGCAGCCAAGTCTAACATGGTGGAACCACCGAACTCATACTTTTCCCCCAAAACCCTAGTTATACAAACACGAAGTGTTCACCATTGGCCCTCTCTTTCAATGTTAACATAGGTTGATCCTCTTTTTAGATTTTGGTTTAGAATCTAACCCAAGACTTTAGACAAAGTCGTGAAGTTCTCTTCTATATGCTTCATGGGTGGGTGGCAGGAGTCGATGAAATACAGTCCTTAACAGAGCAGCGAGTCTCATGCACCCGGGGCTGAGGTTAGACTTTTGATTTGCAAGGGATGGTCACCATTTTAATTACTGAAATCGTAATCCTCAGAATCCCGAGATATTCTGCATCCTGTACCTTCCACTATACTTTAAACAAGCCAACGGGGTTACCGGATGAAATGCGGGCACTCACAGCTGTCTGAAAACCAAATCTCACTGTATTTTATCTGGAAACCCAACCTATAATACAGAGAACAGCTCCTCATCGGGAATAATTACCCATGCACCAACGTGTTGAGTGTGGGGATTGAACGACCTGCCAACAGCAGTCTACTTTTTCTTCTTAATCATCTCCAGGCCTTGCAAGGCTGACTGTTGACACTTCTGGGTCCGAAGTGTGAGCGAGGTCCAAGGCCCTCAATTCCGCCGTATTTTTTCCAGGTGATGTTGCAGGCAGTATTAGCCTACGTCTGCGAACCGTTGTCTGAGGTCTTTGGACTCTGAGGTGGGGAGAAGCAGCTTAGGGGCCAGCTGCGCAGGTAGCCCCGTGGGCAAGACACTTTGGGTCCTATCTAGGAGCCTGGGAGGCCTGTGCGCTCTGTGATCGCTGATGACAATTGGGGGCGTGGCCTAGTCGGGGGCGTGGCTAGAGGCGGGCCCAGGCTTTGATGCCGCTGTCGCGGCTGCCATCTGAACCGCCCTGGTAGGCGTCGCCCGCGCAAGCTTGGCGCTCCATCCTGGCTTCGGTGCGACAGCAGCGGTCCCTAACGCGTTTCCCAGAAGCGCCCATGTCGTTCGGCGTCTTTGCTTGTGCGTGGACTGTGGGTTGACCGCGGGACCAGGACAATAGGACCGCGGACGCTGAACTCCGCTGTGCCGCTAGGGGTCGCAGCGGCGACAGGCGTGAGGGCGGGGCCGACCTGGCAGGGGTGGAGCCAGGTTGAGGTGAATGACCTGTGGGCGGGGCCGGCTGAGCCCGAGCGACCCGGCGGAGAGGAGGCGTGGTATGGGCGTGGCGGGCTGAGGCGTGGTGGGGACGGCTGGCAGGGGGCGGAGTCTGGCTGAGATGAATTGGCTTGTGGGCGGGGTCAGGAGCATTCTGACTCGGTTAAGGGTGTGGAAGGTGGGCGGGGTCAGGATAATGGATGGAGAGCAAGTCTTAAATTAGGTCCCCTAAGGGCAAGGCTTGGTTTGAACTTGCTTTCCCATAGTCGAGGGTCTTCGATTTCCCTGCTCCCCCCGTTACTGTTTTGAGATAGGGCCTCACCTGCTAGCCCACGCTGTCCTCGAACTCTCAGTTTCTCCAGCTTCGACCTCCTAAGGGCTGGCATCATAGGTTGCTGCTACAGTACCCAGCCCATTGTTTTCTTTGATGCAGAAATGTTAAGAGGAGAGTGCTTACGTCAACCGAGACTGGCTTTCTTGAGCCCTCTTGACCATGGCTTAGGGTTGAGGCATTTGTATTTAAAGTACTTTTTCATAAATAAAGATCACTGTATTGTAATAAACCCACACCCAGAGAAATCGCACAGCTAGATTAAGGTAGCCACTTTATAGACACTAATCCGGTTCTAAAGTCTATACACCTCAGTGGACTTCTGAACAGTTGCAACAGCCATTCGAAGCCCTGCTGTGTCTGTTAGTTTTTCTAGTTTCAAGTCAGTCGCACTTCTTTCTTTATGTGTGTGTGTAAAATGTAATTGATAGTGAAAAATATATAATTGGTGGTATAAAATACTTTGAAATTATTTTCTGTTTTTGTTCTCTGTCTAGATCCCAGGCTGGTCTCAGACTCACTAGTAGCTCAGGGTGACCCTGAACTTGTGATCCCTCTGCTTCTGCCTCCTGAGTTCTGGGATTACAGATATTTGTCTCCAAGCCTGGCTTAGTCAGCACTGTGTTGGAACCCAGGGCTTTGCACATGATAGGCAAACATTCTACCAATTGATCTATAGTCCCAGCCCTAAAGGAATGTCTTATTTCAAATTATTTTCACAATTTTGGGGGTTGTTTGTTTTTGTTTTGAAAGGTTATTTTTGTTTTTGTGGGTTTGGGGGAAGTTTTGTTTTGTTTTTGGCTTTTCAAGACAGAGATTCTCTGGGTAGTCCTGGCTGTCCTGAAACTGGCTCTTTAGACCAGGCTGGCCACAAACTCAGAGCTGCACCTGCCTCTGCCTCCCAAGTGCTGGGATTAAAGGCGCGAGCCACCACTGCCTGGCTTATTTTCACAATTTCTTTAAAAAGTTGCAAAACTAGTTTTTTAAAATCTGTCTTTAGCTCAGATTACTCAAATCCTCTACTAAATTATCATCTTATTTAACAGAGCAACAGACCTGTATAGGCCTTGTTTAGAACCCTAGTGCTCATAAGGGTTCTTTGTTGTGGGTCTACTTACGCTAAGATGCCCCATCTCCTTGGAGAAGTTTATGTATTACACAGCACAGTTGCTGACTTCCTCTCCCCCAGCACCCTGGAGAGTTGTCCTTGAGGCACCAGGTTTCAAGCCTCCATAATTAAGCATGTCTCGGAACAGTTCTTTCCTCCACCCTTGCTGGCCCATCTTCTCCTGCCCTTCATGCTAATGTGCCTTTGCAGGACGACACCCCTCCCTTCCACCATCTCCACTAGTCTCTGAAGACTCCTTCTCTCCAATCTTCTCATTTACTCTGGGCTCCCATCCGGGGCAACGTTTTGTGGCTCTGTCCAAAATCCTGAGAACACACACAGGTGTGAGGCTAGGCCAGTGCCACTCCCAGACCCACAGGGCTCTCTCACCCGAACCAGGGCAGATGCCTGGGACAGGGTGTGGCAGAATGGCTGGTTGGGGCTTGTCAAGCAGCATGCTAGTAAGTGAATGAGGTCTGCCTTGGGCACAGCAAAGGAAAAGACACAGGCCAATGAATAGGAGGCAGGGCACACTCCTTGTCCCAAATGTGACTAGAAGTGGGGAGGAGGTCAGATATCTCACTTTTACCAGACTCATCCCAAAGCACTTCTTCATCAGTGTTTCAAAGCAAATGTGTGACTATCTGAGTTTGTAAAGAACCTTAGCTCCGCCTCAGGATGCGACACCAAAGAGTTTGTGGCAAACTCAGTTTTCAGAGCACATTTGACTTCTGTCAGTGCAAGGAAGAGGTTGGGATTGGAAGCCATCACCTACACCGTGAAGCCAGGCTCATCATCTAAGGTTTACAGACCTGGCACCTGCTTAGGAAAGTGAAGACAGAGAGGCCAGAGCCCCACAAACTAACTCAGGTTAGCCGAGGTCAGTAGGCACCTGTGTGAGTGCCTTAGTCCTATGATGCTTCTTCAGAAGCCATGAGGAAATTTACAGCGTGTTGTCACACGAAGCAGAGGCAGTGGTGGAGGCCGGAGGGAAGTCAGGATGCCACCGGGTAGGGCTCTGAGCAACTCGGCCACACCCTTCCCCATGCACCTCAAGGAGACTGCTCTCCAGAGGATATAGACTGTTGAGCCGGGAGATGACTCCTGAAATGGTCGCCATCTCCCACCTTTGTGAAATCTCTCAGGAGGTTGGCATGCCCTTCCCACTTCTGTGTGGGGCAGCCGCCTTCCCACTGGGCAGCAGAGACTCAGCGTGTTTCTTCATAGGTGCCCCTCCCTCTCCGTGCTGTGTCCTGTTTGTGTCCAGTGCACATAACTGAATACGAAGCAGGAGCAGCTGAAAGGGTCCTGAAACAGAACTTCTGTGCCATTGAGGTGGCTCAGTGAACTACAGCGATTGCCAGCAAGCCTGATTCCAGGACAGAACTGAGTCATCAAAGTTGACCTGGCCTCCACGTGTGTACAATGGGTGTGTGTCCCCTCCCTACACCATAAGTAAATGTCATTTCAAAAGAGGGACTGTTGTTCTATTCTCAGGAATGCTTACGACAGTAACAGGAAGCCAGATACAGCCCGGATACAGGCTCACAAAATGGATGTAATGGATACAAGAGACACACAAGTCAGTTGTGAATCTGAAATCACAAGTCACTAACGGTTCTGAAGATACACCACAGTTGTGTGTTGTGGATTCTCTAGATGAGGCGTGATTGGGGGGCAAAAGGGGAGGGAGAAGGAACCTCTGGGTCTGTACAGCTTTCATTGGGGTGGTAGTGCCATCTAGTGGCCAGTGCGGGGCAAGACAGCTTCCTGGCTCCCACAGCTGCGAGACCCGCCCCCAACACAAACAAAGAACTGTCCAGCTCCTAAGCCAGGTAGGAAACCCCTGTCTTAAATGCGTGGAACGGTTTTCGACTCTGGGTTCGGTGTGCGACGTTCAGCTTGCAGGCACAGCCAGCGCACTCACTCCAGCGGCCTTGCAGCTTCTTGCCTCTTCCGGTTCTGGTCATGCCTGCCTTTACCTTTCCTAGTTCTTTTTCCAGATTTTGTGCCTGTGAAATGCTATCTTGTGGTTTTAATTTTTATTTACTGAGTAGTGGAGAGATCAAATGTGTTTTTACAATTATGTGTCTTTTACCCTCCTAAATCTCTTTGTCTGTTATCCTAATGTATTGTTGAATTGTTTGTTTGTTATCTTGATAGTTTCTGGGTGTTTTTTTTTTTAACTCCTACATGTTTTAGATTCTTTATAAGACCAAAATACAAATCTTTATATTTGCTGCAGATAACTTCTACTTGTGGGTTTCATCTGATAAAATGAAAGTTTTTTATTTATTTTTAAATTTGGCATTACTACTATTTTTTTTTCAGTGCAAGGGATAAACTTGACCTTTATATGTGCAAAGCAAGCGCTCCCACTCTGAGAGCTATATTGTAATGGAAATATAATAGAAGTTGGAGTTGTTTTCTTCAGATTTCCTCAGGAGCTGGGCCTCTATTTGGTGTTTGAATGAGGGCCTGGGTTATCTCTGGCTGCTGGGTAAGGACAGGATTCAGGTTCTTGTCCCATAGGCCTTTTGTGGGACAGCTTAGCCATGGCAGCTGGTTTCCCCAATGTAGGTGGTAGAGATAGAGGCAGGATAGAAACCCAACGTCTCTGTAGCTTCTTCTCAGAGGTGACAGCTCACCATACCGGCCCTGTTCTGATTATCAGAAGTAGATCATGAAGCCTCACAGGGAGGGGAGCACAGCAGGGCGTAGATAGCAGGAGGGTGAGGACCACTGGGGCTATCTCAGAAGCTGCCTACTGCCCATTTGTAGGAAGGCTGAGGATGCCTAATTTTTCTTAACTTTACACTCTTCAAGGAAAAAACTTCCCTATACTGGGTTTCATTCGTTCTTTAAAAGTTTAATTTTTTTTCCAGGTGTGGTGGCCTTTAATCCCAGCACTCAGGAAGTAGAGACAAGCAGATCTCTGTGAGTTCTAGACCAGCCTGGTCTACATAGTGAGTTCCAGGTTTATATAGATGTCTCAAAAAAAAAAGAGAGAGAGAGAGAGAAAGAAAGAAAGAAAGAAAGAAAGAAAGAAAGAAAGAAAGATTAAATTGTTTTAGTTGGGCAGTGGTGGCATATGCCTTTAATCCCAGAACTTAGGAAGCAGAGGCAGGCAGATTTCTATGAGTTCAAGGCCAGCCTGGTTTACAGTGGGTTCCAGGATATCCAGGGCTATTCAAAGAAACACTATCTCAAAACAAAACAGAAAGTTAAAAAAAATTAAAACAACATGGTGGCACATGCTTATAATCCCAGCACTGGGCGGTAGAGGCAGGGGCATCAGAAGTTCAAGGTACCTCTCAGCGAGAAAGTGAGTTCAAATCCAACCTTGCCTCAAAAAAATAAAATACTTAAAATTAGAGAGTTTAAAATTTTGGCTTTTTCATGATTAGCTCTTAAAGTTTTTAAAGTGTGTGTGTGTGTGTGTGTGTGTGTGTGTGTGTGTGTGTGTGTGTGTGTGT